TCACCATGTTGACCAGGATAGTCTCGATCTCTTGACCTCGTGATCCACCCGCCTCGGCCTCCCAAAGTGCTGGGATTACAGGCTTGAGCCACCGCGCCCGGCCAGTAAATGTCTTTTTTAAGGCTAGTCAAGTGAGGCAGTGGGAGTGAAGAAGGAACAAAGAAATCCGTAACTGGTTGTGATCAATTAGTTATAAATAGCACTGCCCTGTTTTCTAATTTAATTGAAAGATTCACTATAGTATTGTCAACTTTAAAAAATGTTGTTACAATGTGTTAAAAATAAAAATAATAAATACAATAACATAAAACATATAGAACAGATGTAAAAACGAGTAAATTCTGGTTGTTTTGGCAAATGTAAATTGCTTAGCTTTAATACAAATTAAAAATGTGAGCATTCATTTGAATAAATAGATATAATTTATTCTGCCTAGTAAAGAAGGCCATTGGTGGTCCTGGATATAATTCCCTCAGCGAATCTGCTGAATCTTACAGGAAATGCCCAGGCTCACTGGGGAGAGTGGATTAAGAGGAGGGTAATTTGGAATGTACGGGAGGTGCCCCTGGCACCCTAGAACTCACTGTCAGTATAAACTATTCAGAATCTAAGAGGAGTTAACATTTGTTTCCCAATAATACTGGCGAGGGTGGTGGTGGGAGGGGGGGCGGGTCCTGCAATTCTAAAAGTCCAATAAACCTCTCAGCCATGAACTCAGGAGACAGAGTTTAAAACACATCAGTGGGGAAGAGAAAGGCTGTTATACTGCCTCTTGCCTCCTCCCAGCCCTGGTATGATATGCAGAGTGAAAAAGATGAAGAGAGCCAGGGCCCAAGACAGCATGGGAGAGGGGAGAGGGATGATGGAGAGGGAGAGAGAGGGAGACAACAGGCAGACAGGAAGTGTATCCCAACCTAATTTTCTGCTGTAGAGACTTTGAGCATCTCTGAGTGGTAGGGTGTGGTGCAGCAAGGAGAGTGTGGAGACAGTGCCTGGCTGACCAGTGATACCTAGAGACAGTGTCGCTTGAACCACACTCTGCCTCTGCTTGTTCTCTCCAGTTTCCGCCCTTCTTCTCCCTGCTCTGGCTCCATCCCTACACTGGAATCCCAGTGAATCTGTGGCTTCCAACTTCTGCCTTTCCCAGGAGTACCAACTGGCCTCCTCCCTTCCCTGACCTCTTTGGCTTGGCCTTGGGACTGCTTCTGTGGCAGCCCAGTGCCCAGAGCTTTTTGCAAGGGAGGAGGCCACAGCAGACCCTTCCTTGCCGCCTACCTCGAGGAACTTATTTTTTGCCCCAATTCTGAACACTGCCAGGAATTGTTTCCTAAAAGGCATACTTATATTATAAAAGGCATACTTTTTAAAAATACACTTATAAAAGGCATACTTTTATATTATAAAAGGACAAATATAGAAAACAACTTGAAACTCTGGCTAGGGCCGATAACTGGGTTTATCAGGTATGATTTTTTTTTCCAGTTATAAATTATTTCTTATAAAGAGAAAAGAATAAAATGTGAAACAAATTTGAAAGTAAGTATAAAGTACAGTAAGCCAGTTTACTTAATTTTTTAAACTTAAATTTGATTTTTAAATTCGATATCTTATAAAATGTTTTATATTTCTGGTATGAGATTATGCTATATTGAGTTAGAAGGCATTCTGTATTGAATTTCACAACCTACTTTTGTCATGTTCTAATGAAATATAAAACATAAACCAATAATCTCATCATGTTCTCCTTACTGCTTTCCATCACCTAGTAAACTTTAAAAATTTTTAATTATGGTATAATTCACATAACAAAATCTACCATCTTAACCATTTTGAACTACACAGATTATACAGATCAATATATTAAATATACTTAACAATCGTTTAAATACGTTCACATCATTGTGCAGCCAATCTCCAGAACTCTTTCAATCTTGCACTAAGTAATTTTTTTTAACCCTTAATATGTGGCATTACTAAAGCAAATATCTTTTGGGATGGAGGAGAGAATTACTTTCTTTTTTTTTTTTTTTGAGACGGAGTTTCGCTCTTGTTGCCCAGGCTGGAGTGCAATGGCGCGATCTCGGCTCACCGCAACCTCCGTCTCCTGGGTTCAGGCAATTCTCCTGCCTCAGCCTCCTGAGTAGCTGGGATTACAGGCACACGCCACCATGCCCAGCTGATTTTTTGTATTTTTAGTAGAGACGGGGTTTCACCATGTTGACCAAGATGGTCTCGATCTCTTGACCTTGTGATCCACCCGCCTCGGCCTCCCAAAGTGCTGGGATTACAGGCTTGAGCCACCGCGCCCGGCCCGAGAATTACTTTCATGACGAATATATTTCACTATTAACCCTCACTGGTCTTATAATAAGTTATAACAAGAAACATACAACCTTCAGGCCTGGCAGCTAAACTAACTCTCACTTACTCTGTGACTAAAGATATCATTTTACTTTCCCATCCTGAAGACAAGTAAGTGCATGAGTAATGTCTTTCCACAAATGAAGGAATGCAGTTAACACGTCTACGTTTTTCTCTCTCCCACCCTGGAGAAAACTTTTCTTTTAAGGCAATATGATTAAGTTGGAACTTTCTGTACAAGCATCTAGATATTAAGAAGTAACTACTGATAAAATAACTCAAAATGCATTACAGTAGGAAAAAGCATAAATGCTTTTCATAGGAAAGAACAATTAATTCCAAATACTGATGTCATATTACTCTGTATGCTTTCGAGTTAAAGCACAGTTTGTATAAAAGGAAAAAGCATGGGCAAAAGGCACCTATGAAAAGGAGAAAGACACCTGAAGGCAGCAAAAAGCAAAGAGTCAGTTCATTCATCAAGCTCATTCTTTTTTTTTTTAGAGACAGTCTCACTTTGTCGCACAGGTTGGAGTACGGTGGTGTGATCTCAGTTCACCACAACCTCCGCCTCCCGGGTTTAAGCAATTCTCCTCCCTTAGCCTCCTGAGTAGAAGGGATTACAGGTGCCTACCACCACACCCAGCTAATTTTTTGTATATATATTTTTTTCAGTAGAGTCAGGGTTTCATCATGGTGGTCAGGCTGGTCTCAAACTCCTGACCTCAAGCGATCTGCCCACCTCGGCCTCCCAAAGTGCTGGGATTACTGGTGTTAGCCAACATGCCTGGTCAAGCTCATTCTTTATCATGGTGCTTTGACATATAATGTTATCTAATGATATATATATAATAGTTATATAAAATACATTATATAAACTACTTTATATTGTTAAATATAATTATATAGAAAATTATAGAATACATATTATATAACATATTACATATGATATTTATGATATATAATATAGACCATTACTTTGAAGTATGTTTCTTAGACAGGTTATCTTACAGTGCTTTATGTTTTTAAAGGGTTTATTCCTGGGAGTCAAACATTAGAAATGAAGCATTACCTTTTTAAATATTCCAGACTCTAGAAGTAAAGAACCAAGTGCCTCACTGGTGGTGTGAAAGAACTGGGATTCCCCACAGTGCAGTGTAAATTCCTGGGACTCTCCAACCACATGTCTTCCATCTACTACCTCCAAAGCTCTGTGAAGAATGGAAACAGTCATGTCAATAGGCTATGAACAATGCCAAAATCTCAACAAACCCAAAGGCATATTTCTCCATGTAGTAACATACTTCCAGTCAGCCCAAATAATGAAGCATTCTTCAAAACCTATACAGCATTGTAGATAATTTGGTGCTCTCATAGCACATGTATACATAAACCTGGATGACTTCACCCTGTCCCTTACCGAATTCTTTTAAATCCTAGGCAGAAAACAAATTAGAGGTAGGTAGACAGATAACGAGATGGATAGGCAGATTTTGGCATGAAAGCAATCCAATTTCATTTTGCAATTTCTTGGTTGTTCTATGTCATGGCTCTTAAGAAATAACAAAAAGAAATTTCTAAGTCTCCTGAACACTGGAAATAAAGTGGAAACTGAATCCCAGTTAGAGAAATGATCTAGGTTATGCCAGGAAAAGGGAACTGTTCTTAGGATTGTAATATTTAGGAGATTCAAAAGGGATGGAAACTAATAAAGGCAGAAAGAATGTTTTACAGACTCAGATGGTTGCCTGTGCCAAAGCCACTTCCTTTATCCAACCCTCCATTGTCCTCTTGCACCCCCTCCCATTCACACTGCCTTTGTTAATAACTCTAAATTTGTTCAGTGATTCATTCTTCATATACCTCAGGGGAAGCTGCTTCCAGCCCTGGAAGTCAGTCAGGATAGCTCTAATCCTGGTGTCCAGTTCCCCTCACCAGTAACTAATTTAGGCAAATGGCCATACATATCTCTCTTGCTGATATTACCACATTGATTTACATCTCCCTGACCCTCTAAAGTGTTCACGCTTTGCCCTACTTATCTGGCGCAATTCTGACCAATGAGATGTGAGAGGTGTCTGCTGAAGGAATCAGGAATAGGTCTTTTACAGAAGAAAAAGTTTCCCTTTCCTGCAGGCCAGGGTCAGGTCTGTATGTGATGAATATGATAAAACATCTTGGGACCACGTGCAGCATTAGCCTAAGGAGATTTGGTTGAGGAAAAAGCGGAGAGGAAATATGAGCGCTACCTGAGTCTTTAAGTACATTGTTGAGCCGCAGAATGACCCAATCCCAGACCTGCCCTATCTCTGGAGTTCTTGTTGTGTTAGATAATAAATATCCTTTTCTTTAAGGCATTTTGACTTGGGTGTTCTGTGTTGTCTGCAGTTGAGCATCATATCGGATCCAAGGTTTGGTAGACTTGGTAAGCACAGGAATAAAGATGTCAGAGCAGAATGAGAGCTTTGAATGAAGAATGCCAGCAAAGTAGAAAGAGAATTAAAAATGCCAGACCTCAGCATTTCACAGAAGAAACAGAAGCATTTGTGGGATTTCTACAATACTCAAGAATAAAAAGATGAACAGAGCAAAGTGTTAACACTTTAGAGGGGCAGGAAGATATAATCAATATGGTAATATCAGCAAGGGAGATATAGATTGGTATAATTTGTGGAACTCTGTTGTGTACTTTTTTTTTTTTTTGAGACAGAGTCTTGCTCTGCCCAGGCTGGAGTTACAGTGGCATGCTCTCAGCTCACTGTAACCTCCAACTCCCAGGTTCAAGTGATTCTCCTGCCTCAGCCTCCCGAGTATCTGGGATTACAGGTGCATGCCACCACACCCAGCTAATTTTTTTGTATTTTTAGTAGAGACGGGTTTTCACCATGTTAGCCAGGCTAATCTTGAACTACTTACCTAAAGTGAGCCACCTGTCTCGGCCTCCCAAGGTGCTGGGATTACAGG